GGACCCGAATTGGGAATTGGATTTTTGTGACTAAGCATGCGCACGATGCAAAACATGCCAGGCTGCCCATTGTGGAGGGTGTTCATCATGGCCACGTGTGCCTCGGCCTCCTTGTTTTGTTTTGCGGCCTGACTCGGGGGAGCGTAAGACCTGGGTTTGCCAGGACTCGGGTTCGCCTTAGTTTTTTGACGACCGCGCCTCGGATTTTGACGAGGAGGAGTTTCGTGGGATGTCTGCAGCGGGAGGCCTCGTCAAAATGCAGGCTCGGCCTCGTCATTTTTTTGACGACCTCGTCGGGGATTTCCGAGTCCCCTGTACCCAGGTCTTACGTCCCCCTGACTGACGCTGCGTTCTGCTGTCGATCATGAACCCTATGTCGGCCGCCGTTTGCGAAATGAGCGCCCACGAGTGAAAGCACAAAACGGGCCCCCGATAACCCGCACCTCAAAGTTGGTTGACGACCATGCCAGAGTAGAGTGGAAAAATGTTGCGAGATAGACGCTCGCTCTTGCGAGGGGCCTGCCGCTCGTCCCGTCGACCTTGAAATGCGGGGGCGAGAGGGGCGCGTGTCGATGCCCTGTTGTCTAGACCCGACACGGGAGTATGTCGCAACCAGCGGTAAGCGCCGCCATCCGATTTTCCGTACCAAAAAACCACCGAAGACCGTTCGAAGGCCGCTGGAAACCGCCGAAGACCATAGCAGACCGTCAGGAGACCGCCAGAGACCGCCCATGGCCGATGGGTAGACAAGGAGTCCAGGGCCGAACGCTCTTTCACTTCGTCATAAAAGGGGGGGTCACACCCCTCCCAGACGCACAGATTTTTTACCACCGCAGACCAGCCGTGAAAGGGCGGTCTTTTGCCCAGACCCCCCAGGGTCCCTCCAAAACAGCTCCAGTCACCCACCCCCCAAAATCGGACCCCTCCTGTTCGTCTTGAAGCCCCGCGCGCGTGCACAGATCCCCGACGTCGTGTTCATCGCGTCGACCCGCGCAGGGCTCGACCCGCTCCCCGGGACTGGTCGTTCCACTGGAGCCGTTCTGCGACGGTCCCGAGGCCGAAGGATTGCAAAAAAAAAGGATTGCAAAAAAAAACGAAGGATTGCAAAAAAACGATTGCAAAAAACGAAGGATTGCAAAAATAAGGATTGCAACAAAATCTTAGTTTTTTGCAATCCTTCGATTTTTTTGATTTTTTTTTTTTTGTAATCCTTCGTTTTTTTTTTGCAAGCCCGGGCCTCCAGAGGCCGAAAATGGCGAAACGCTTCCCGTCGTGGCTCCTGCCCTGCCTCGTGGGGTCTTGGCCTGGCGGCCCGACGCTGCGCCGGCCACGCGCAGAGGACCTCTCGCAGCGGCAGAACTCCACCGCCCTGGCGCAGGCGCTGCCCCGGGCGGCCGCCGGGCGGGGCCCCCGCCGCGCAGCGAGCGGGGGCATGGCCGACCGGGCGCCTGCCGGGTCGGTCTGAAGGCTGGGGGGGGGGTTGTCCAGGCCTCTCAGATGGGGCTGACGGCTGACGACAGCAGCAGACAAGGCATGGTGGGATCGTCGCGGATATGGGTTTACGAGCAGCTCCGGACAGCACCGTGACGGAGCTCCGAAGGCTGAGGAGGTGAGCGGCCACTGCCGCTCCGCGCAGGCCGCCAGCTGGCCCGTGCCCCTGCGGGGACGACTCGCGTGTCGTTCGCGGGGGGTGGACATCATGGCGTCGGCCATGACGTTTCTTCAGATTTCATGGCGCCTCTTCTGAATTATTTCACTACGTCCCTGCCCCCCCCCAAGGGCCGCGCCCATGCCGCCGGCCATGATCTGCGCCCCACCCCCTCTTGGACGCCCCCCTCTTGGCCGCCCCCGACACATGGGGTCGGAGCAGACGGGGTTGGAGGTTGGCGCCGCATCGACGATGCGGCTCGATGCGGACCTCGATGTCATCCGAGCCGACGCCGCCCCAGACGCAGCTCCCTGCGTGCGTGCCGTCCCGCCGAGTGGAGCTGCGGCAGGCCGAGCTCAAACGGCCCAGTCCATCGGCACTGCCGACACAGTCGGATCGGCATACACTCCAGGCGATGCTTAAGAAAACCCAAGTTTTCGGCCAGAGTCTCGATTATTCTTAATGTTTCAATGTCAATCCTAACATTTGAATAGACATTCTGGGTTTGATTTCAAATTCTGAGACTATGAATTTCTTAGCCCATGATTTCTAAAGCATTTCGCAGGGTGCAGCCTTGTGGGGATCCCAGGGCTCGTTCTGAAAAGGGGCATCCTGCATCAGATGTTCCAGACTCCCTAGCGCAAGGGGGGCTGAGGGCATGGAGGACCGAGGTTCCCGGCCCAGGCTTCCCGACGTTCTCGGCGGTGTGCGTCGATAGCAGATCATGGGAGCCTCGTATGCCCTCGGAAATCCGCCTTCGGAGTGTCCCAGCGTGCGACAGCGTTTGCTAGTCGATGAGAGCGCGCCGATCTAGCGTCGACTCGCGTCGATGTAGCGTCGGTCAGAGACGAT